GAATTTTTTTTGTTAGAGCATAAAAGGCGGTTTCTTATGCAAATTTTCGAGAAATAGGCGATTTTTTCAAAATGAACCAATTTTTCTGATCGTGTTACGTTACGCAAAATTGTGACTTGTTATTGGCTGATCGTGTCGGAAGATCATGTGACTGCGCCCTCGATTGTCGGTAACGCTGGGACTTTTTACCTATAGGCCGTTGCACACCCTAATTACACGCATTATGGAGATATCGTTACATAAAATGCCAATTGACTTTAATATTGAAGTAACAAGAAATGATGTTCAGAGCAAGGCCAGTAAGAGACGGAAGGTTAGACAAGGCGGGTCAAGGGGAAATAAACTCGACTTAATGGTCCGGGCATTTTTCAAAAACAGATGGAATGAACTTGCTTATTTAGAAAGCGGAAAATGGAAGTCGACAAACGTAAAATCCAATAATGACCATAACAAGTTGGCTCGGTTTTGCGTAGAGGGATGTGTTGATATGTCAAAGAAGATCAAGAAGAACGAGTTGTATAAATTTTGTATTATATTCGGTATTAATATTACAGGTAAAGCGCACCGCGTGCAGTATATATGTGTAATAACCTATTTTCTAATAACTTTATAATAATTAGACGATCATTTTATTGTTATACATGGGCTGATGCGAGAAAATGGGTTAAAATTTTATTGCCCTATCGTCAAAGCTAAAATTCCTTTTCATAACGCACCATTAGATGAAGTCGAAGATTTTGTACATGCGTTGCTAGTTCTACGAGTAAGAATTTAAAATTAGCACTTCACCTGACATTATTTCTAAGTTTAATGTATATATATTTAGAATGGAATATTGGTGAATCTTCACGGAATAAGCCGTATTCGCTCAATAAAGTCTAATTCAACCGCTTCTGCACAAGACAATGCGGACTCTTCTGATGAAGATTCTATCATTAGAACCCCCAAAAGAAGATGATACATATTTTACTTACCAAATTATCTTTTTTCTCGTAAATAATAATAAATTTGTTACCTTTTCTATTATGTGATCGTGACAACATGATGACCTGGTGAAAGCGGGCTGTGCAAATTTTTTTTGTACACTCACTATAACTGATAATATTGACCTTTTAACATATATGCCTGTATACATGTGGTGTGAGGTGTGATGTATCAGAATAAAATTGGAACGCATAATAAAATTTTTATTTTCACGTAACATACATTCATATTTGTTATAATAAATTCTATGCATAATTTTTAGATCAAATGACAAAATAATTCAGGGCGTATAAAAGGTTATTAAAAATAAAAAAAAATTCTAAAGTTATAACCCTGGCTTACGCATAATTTGTCTGTAATGCACACATTACGAAAATTTTGAATCAAAGATTCGTGGCTTTGCCACTAGCCACGTATATATTTTTTTCTCTCTTGAAAAGAGGATGCTTTGCATCTAATATAATAACGATGAAAAAATCCGAAGCTTATAATTATGCATAATCCCGTAGTTGTCCTATAGTTATCCCGTAGTTATATTATATTTATTATGTCTATGATATAAAAAAAATCCCATAGTTATCCCATACTTGGTATGATAATTGATGTGCCATGTTAAAATAAAAAATGGTGAGCCCATAGGACCCCCCTCTTTATTTCATAAAAATTGTTGCCGGAACGACAATATACATATAAAAAATATATATCGCTGTTACAAGTGCGAATACAAATAAAAAAAAATCTAAATAATTTTTGTTTCTGATCCTGGTAATTTTTCTACAAGTACATAAATAATAGTTTGATCAGGATTATTACTATAAAGAGTATAAAGACTAGTATGAGGATGCATATTCACATATCCCTCTTGGGTGGGGCAAAATCTAAGAAACCGGCGAGGTGTACTAGTTGCACCTGATGGTAATAGGGACAAATAAGCTTGAACTTGAGTTTCTAATGATTCAACACTATTTCCATTAAAAACTTTGATTTTAAAAAAATGATATGGTAAGCAGAACGTGAAGAGACAATTAAGATAAATATATTCATTAGTCTTAGGGTTGGGTTCATTAGTCTTGGGGGTGGTGGTGGTATCGTTAGTACTGCTCATTATTCGTTTCTAAACACAAAAATCATAGTAAGTAAAAATTCATTTTCATAGTCCTCGTTAAACGAAATAGCAAATTACTTTAAAAATAAATTACGGGCGAGTAAATCAAGCAAAAAAAATATATATGAGCAAAAAATAATGTTATTGTTAACTTGTGGGTGGGAACTTGCTTATTTTATACTCCACATTCGTTAGGTCTGAGAACCTGCCAGAAAGAAAATACACGATTAATAATTGCATTACCCAAATCCAACGCCAGTTTTTTTTTCCATAAAGCAACTCCGCTCGGTCATAACTCCCAAACACTGATTTTGTTATTTTTCTGGTGAAATTAACCCCTTTAGTTTTGACGATCGCTTAAGGTAGGTTTAGATCTGACGATCTCGGGAGATGGCGGAGATTCCAAGTTCCTGCAACATATGAATATTGATAAAATTATTGATTAAGAACGCTATACTCTTCCTACTTATAGCCCTTTTAAGTCCCATTCGTGCGTTTTCTTATATTTTAGGTACGTACGTACATAGCGAATATAGGGCACATGTGGTATATGGTGAACATAGTGAACATGTTCCACATAGTGAACAAATGCAACATAGTTAACATAGTGAACATGGTGAATATAGTTGTTATGAACTTGTAAGCATGTAAAAGATATAAAAGACTCACCTCTTCGCTTGAATAAAAAATAACTCGGTGGAGTTCAAAGTCAAAGAAATCAGAGTATTTGGCATGTGATTCACGCTTATAGTAAATAACTCAAGGGAGAGTTCGAAGTTACAAGTTAAAGAAATTAGAGTATTTAACTTGTTATTCACTTGTGTAGTGTGAAACTCTTGTAGTGTGAAACTCTTGGAGTTCGAAAGACTGAAACAATTCAGTTGGATATCTGTAATTACGAAAGGAACTCATGACCAAATCCCGTGATTCTGAATGAAGAGATTTGTGACGTAATCAAGAGCTC